AGATAGATAGATAGATAGATAGATAGATAGATAGATAGATAGATAGATAGATAGATAGATAGATAGATAGATAGATAGATAGATAGATAGATAGGTAGGAAGGATTTGGTGTCTAGATTGTGTGAATGGATTATTACTTTATCATGGCCTGTCCTAGTAACTGAAAATCAATTTAAAAACTGAATAACTTCATCTAATTTTTCATCTATTTTACACATGAATCGGTATTTAAATTCTACTCTGTATTGCAATGTCGACACCTTACCTGGTTGTGTGAGAACACAGGGACCATAGTGTCGAGAGAGTGAGTTGCTTAGGAAACAGAAAAGGCAGAGAAACAGGGATAAATAATTAGAGAGAAAGAGGGGGAATCCACGATGGAGAGGAGGCAAGAGCAGAGATGTGGGCCATTTTTACTCAAGAGAGTTCAGAGGGGGTCGGAGAAGCCTGCTCCAAATGGATTTTCCTTGTTTGTAATGAGGCTACTTCTTCCAGTGCATGTGGCGCTTTTGGAGGAGTTGGACGGAAAGAAGGACAGCAAGGCGAGCAGATAGAGGAGTAAGAGGGTGAAAATGGTTGGAAGTTGTAAAGAGAGGGCAGGGAGTAGGAAGCACAAGGAGGAGGGATTGCAACTGAAGGAGAAAGAGGCTGCAGAGAGAAAGAATAATAGGAGTGCAATAGTGTTCGGTCATAGATCTTTCTGATGATGTTATGCAGTTGCCAAAGGGTGGGGGGAGGGAGAGAATGGGGAGAAAGGGAGGTGGGAAAGGATAGATGGTGGGAGAAACAATCAGTTACTGCAGGTAGTGGTGACCAGTGAGAGGGAAAGAAATAAATGGAACATGGAATAGAAAGAGAGGGCAGATTTGTGACTGAAAATATTACAGCTGTTGTGCTGCAGAGGAGGAAAGGAATAGCTTGGTGGTATTCCAAATGTGAAGCTGTTAAACTGCGATGTAGAAATGTTAAGATGAATGGAACGGCATCTGGAAAATTACAGCTATTTTTCAACAAATGAGCTAATTGTCTAAATCCCTTGTGAATATACTCCGGCACAAAAAAAAGGACATGAGCTGCATGTAGAGCACTTGTGTCTTTCTTTGGCCTTCATTTTCAAACAGTGGTTCAGAGGCTTTAAATGAGAAACATATGAGAGAGGTTCACCCAAGGAAAACTCTGGTAAAGACAGTGACCTGCTTTAGCTTCTCTTTGAAGTGAATTCCACAGTCCTGTGCTCATATTACCTTCCTACTTCTGTTCTCCTCCTCCTCTTTATTTCCTCTCCTCTCCCTTTTACTCTTATCAATTTAAACTGCTCTTGTCATTTCATTTCTTTCTCTACATTGGTTTTCACTCTTTTGCTCTCGTATTCATTCACTCTCCTCTGAAGAGGAACACTATGTAACAGACTGAGATTGATATTTTCTTTCTCTTGTTCTCACTTTTTTTAGTATCTTTCTTTGATTTTACATGACTTATGTGGTGTACTGAGAGATGGTTTGTGTCCTCAGTGAAAGACTAATCCTGATTTTACTGCATTTACACTTTATTCAGTATTAGTGAATCACTTAAGGATATCTTATAGTTCCTCATCTATATATCTGATTGGCCCAGACTGCCCAACTCAAGTAAAAAACAGAGAGACTCGGTAGACTCGCTGGCTCAGTTCAACCTGAAAACAACCTGCCAAATAATGACACTTCCTAATCCTATACGTGGGGAGAAATCCAAAGAAAATACATGTCAAGTGTCAGTGCACAGGTAGCAATGACATAACGTAGGGATCTCTGGCCTGAAGAACTCATCTGATAAGACGGGGAATGATGAGAGAAAGTGTGGAAAGGAGGAAAGGGACCGCGCGTTTATGAAAGCAAAAACAAGGGCAGAGAAAGAAGCAGAGGGAGAAGTCAGAGGCAGCGCACAGATGGTGAGCTGTCAGCGGCCGGCTGTGCCTGTGTGTGTGCGTGTGTGTACCTTCATATGTGTGTGCGCTGTTCATACCATGCATATTTGTGGATGCTACATAAATGTGGAGTGCATGTCTGCCCTTGCTTTCTTGTGTGCATCCATGCATGTGTGTGTGTCTGTGCGTGTCTGTGCCCTCTGAGCTGAGGAGAGGTACTGTATGTGCGCAGAGCTGTTCTTCCCAGATGGCACTGGCAAACAGACACTGCAAGGCTGGCGGAGCTGGCACGCCCACCTAGTGCACAGTTGGCACTGCCCGCCACCATGCTTTCCCCTATGTACCGGGGGCGAGAGTACCTGCTGCCAGCCGCCTAAGCTCATTGACTGGCAGGCTGTCTAACTACTGACTTTTTTCCATTGGTAAAGTTTCTCTGGCTTTGTTGGATCCCAAGAGAGCGTTCCTTTGACCCTAAACGAATGTAAAACCTCCTGGTTTTTTAGAATCCGCCATTCAGGAACAGCATTTCATGAGTATGTTACAACAGAAGCTGCAGCCAATGCAGAAACACAAAGTCAAGACATGAGGCAATATCAGACAAACTGTCACAAGAGTTCACGTCACAATTTAGGCATTTTAAATGGTTTCAGTTGCACGCTGCCGCATTCTAGTAAAGTCAGCTGTGGCAGGCAGAGCTTTCATTCATTGCATGTCTTAACTTTATTGTGCCCTGACTAAACAGCGATGTGTCTTAACACACTGCTATGATCATGCTGATCTATAGGCTTCTGCTGGCAGGTTTCCAGTACTGGAGGCTTTCCAGCTGAACGCCTTGATGTTTTCGTTGTGCGCATGAAGAAAACACGCAGAAACATGCAACACTGAATAGCTACCAACATAAAAGACCATGTTAGTGCGAATGCTCGTGTGTGTGTCTGTGTTGCAGATGCGTTTGAATACATTTATCTGTCTATGTGTGTGGGCTTGGGTGATGCGGGAGTGATGGTGGATTTTATATTTCGCATGCCATGAACAGGACGTGTAAAGTAAGTACAGATGTATGGAAGCGTGTGTAACTGTGATCCTCTGCTGTGTGTACTCTGTGTGTGTGCGCGTGTGTGTGTGTGTGTGAACGAGGAAGCAGCTGTGCGAGCGGCAAGTGTGCGCCAGGTCGACAACACTTAAAGCAGAACCAAGGCACGTGTGTGTGTGTGTGCTTGCGTCCGCATGTGTGTCTCTATTCTGGAGCATATGTGTGTGCGCGTGTCACAGTGCGCATGTGTTTGTATTCTTGTGTGTATGCGGGAGGGGTGGGGAATTTGGCCACCCATCTGTGCTAGGCTATTTCGCTACTGTTTCTGCAGGCATACACACACAGACACTGTCACACACACATACACACACACACACTGTGGAGCACTGTGCCAGGCAAGCTGTTCACTAGCTGGCGCTGGCAACGCTCCAGAGAGAGTGGTGGCATCCATCTGTAGCACTGGAGAGCGGTTAGGCTGTGTCTGAGTCTATGCGTGTGTGTGTGTGTGTGTTTGTGTTGCCACAGAAAAGCAAAACAATGGGACTGTCTTGATGATGCTATTAGTAGTATCAGTCGTGGGTGTGGGGACAGAGTTCAGAGATGTGCTGGTTGAAAAACTGAGGCTGTTTGATGGACACGGGGGATGGATGTGGCGAGGATAGCGATCTGAGGCGCCTCCTGCTGAACAAAGACGACAACATGTGATGCTAATACCCAGAAATGCTAGAAAACTAATGGACTGTCACAAATAATATCTCACATTTGTATATGGAAAATTAAAAATAAAGTATCAAACCTAAAATTTATGGCCAGTTTATGATTATTTTTTACTGAACTAAAGATTAAGATCTCACATTAACACATGATTATTTAAATAAAATGCAGATTGTAGACACTGGAACTGTACAGTCCTGTCAATGATGCTTCAATGGTATTGTGGGCCATGTTTAGCTCCTTTCTTCTCGCCTGTCAGTGGACTCAGATGGCTGCGTGCTGACAGGGATGCGAGACAGTGAAAGGTGAAAGAGCCCAGTAGAAAGGATGTAACAGTTAGATGAAAGGAGACAAAGACACATCGCTGACCTAAAATGGGCTGTGGTGACACTGGGCATGTGTGTGTTTGCGCGCAAGCAGAGGCCATCCCTCTGCCACCTTCGCCTCCAGCCATACTTTACTCACAGCCACTCAGAGCCATTAGCAAACCACAGTCACTGTGTCACCCACAAGAACACAGGTACACACACACACATGCGATGTAAGCTTAGAAATGCCCCGATCCAAGGTCTCACCAATCACCGCTCCCTGCTCACCAGATGTGACTAAGACCCTGTTTTTAAACATCTTCCCCCGCAGGGCAGAGGAGGCAGCAGTGGGGGTAGAAGGGGAAGGAGAGTAAGAAGGCAAAGGAGTAGTGGTTTTCAGAGAAGAGGTGGTAAGGGCTAAAGGTTTTTTTCCCTCTGTTTTGCAAATCTGGTTCTATTTAGCACTGCCCTGGAACACATTTCATAAATTGCAGACATATTTTTTCAGAGTGGTTTTGGGGAAGATAGTTAACCGGCAGTAATTTCCAACACATGGCAGCCGTCATGTGATATTTTGAAAACACCAGGCAGACAAGCTTGTTCCCTCTCCCCCAGGAACCCCCACTCTCTTACTGTTAGCCTATGCCCTCTTTTTTCTGTTCTTGTCCTCTGCCTCCTGTATTTGATTTCCCATCTGTGTCTCATATGCCCTAAATGTTATCTCTTGTTTACAGGCTCTCCCTTCAGCATCCTTACCTCTCTTTTCTCAGCTCTTTCTTGATCTGTTTCCCACATCTGTTTTCAACCCTCACCCTTTCATCCTTGTCTGTTTTCCTACATGTCACACTAAATAACTGTACTCTCACTTAGCGTCCATTGTATATCACTCGACTCATGCGCCCCCTTTATCCATCCTTCCTCTAACTGGGTGTCTCCGTCTCTCTCCACGTGGTAAGAGATAACTGTCATGTAAAACACGATGGCCTTTACTGTCTGTTGAAAATTGATCTTGCTGCTGAGGCCTGGAATATATTATATAATATTCCTTTCAGCATGGACACGCACACAGATACAAATTGGGTTCCATCTGGCTTACGGCTCCAACACACTGTAAGCTTTCAGCAATCTTATATATTTTATTGAAATCCGCACTGTGGATCTAATAAATCTGGGTAGGACATCAAGTTAGATGTAGACTGTGTGATGATAATACCAACTGAATCGTGGGCTGCAGTGCCCAGCTGTGCTCCAGTATTGCTACTTCCTTCTTGTTGCAGTCACGATAACAGCTGGGACACACATCATACAAACAAACGTAACGCCACAACTGTTGGTTGGTTTGCTGGTTAGCAGACGTAGGTCATGGCAGCAGTCAAACTGTGAGATGTCAGTACCCTCTGGCCCAGGCCATGCAGTGACCAGCTTTGAACCTCTCTCTCTGTGCAACAACCTAAAACATCATCATGATTCCTTCACATTGGTAGCGAGGAACTCCACATATATTTATAATAAAGCCAGAGGCCAGAGGCCAGAGGGTTTGATATGGGAAAGGCCTCATTCACTCTGATACCTTTAAAGGAGGTTGGCAAGCAGAGAAAAAAGGGGCGCAAGAGTGGCTCATGGAAACAAAAGCAAATATGCGTTATTTATAGTGTCCGAGGTGTGGTCCAGCTCCTGAAATTCAGATGTATTATCTCCAATTGAGCGAACATAAAATGGAAATAATGCATGCGAGCCTGTATCATTGTGAATTAGTGTGCTTGTGTTTAGAGATGGAGTGGCTATATGAGTGATTTTAAGCTGTACTTGAGCTACAGACCTGAACAGTTCTCATAAGGGGTTTGTGTATAAATGTGCAGCCTGTTCATAGCGGTTATTGTAGCGCTGACATATATGCATGTCAAAACGCACAACCTATATCGAGGTTCAAAAAGCAATTTCGCTGCTCTACACTGTAGACTAAAGAGGTTACAGACTGGCTGTGTGGGAAGCTTTAGAAAATAAAGCCATGTGTCATCGGCATTAGGATGTGTGCTGAGAGTTTTGTGTGAGTCCTTTGCTGGCGAAGAGTCTTGCCTGGGAAAACGCCCAGACCCATTTGGGCTCACTTTGCTCTGTGTCAGCATGGCATCAGAAATGAACCAAACTGTATACAGAAAGCAGTTTCCAATAGGCTGGCTTCCATCAAGTGACCAAACATGGCTCACCGAGGCTTACATCTGATTTACATCATTCTATTTTTTCCCCCCAAAACACACCATTTATATCATTATTTAGACATCATGTTGTTAATGAAAATGACAAGCCAGCTTTATATAAATAAACGATGTCTTTGATGGAGTATTCTAAATATGTTGAGCCCCGTTTGGCCCCACTGTGGAAAAATGTCAGATGGAATTAACATTTCTATTTCCACCAGCACTTTAATAATGGTAAACTCTGCTCATAATGGCGGTAAATCTCCCGAACTCGCTGTTTGTCACTCTGCAGCTTGTCTTTACTTTTACCTCTCGCCGACCCTAGTCTTCTGTCACACACATCCATTGCTCATCTTTACTTTTAAAAGAGCTCGTAGTTCAGCTTTGCCTGGCAACAAGATGTGGCAGGAGTACTTTCGATTTGAGAGGATGCATAACGGGCACTGTGAATCATTTTTATTGTTCCTTAACACTTGCTTCCCCTCTCTGTGCAAGTGAGACTTTTTCTTTTCAACAGATGGGTAAAACAGACATTACTATAAATCTGACTTAAAGAAAGAAAAAAAAAAGAGCTTCTGATGCTATACACCACATATGTTTTATTGACCGCTGTGTGTGTATGTGTGCAAACACATACACACACGTCTGAAAGATCGACGTGTTTTTGTATGCATATATGCACGTATATGTGTGTGTTAAAGTTTGTGTGGTGGAACAGATGGTGCTCAGACCTCTGTGTGCAGTTGAGAAATCTCCGTATGTTGCACTGAGAGAAAAATAAAGATATGGTGGGAGATGAAAAAGACTGTCAGCATTGATCCAGAGCCAGTCTGTTTGCAAAGTTTTAGTGCTGTATTGTACCACATTTTCACTGTTACACTCATCAACGGGGAAAGATTAGGGATGGGAATCCATATTGTTCAATTTCCTGGGAAGATTATCTTTTCCTTTAAACAGTGTTTTTCTTTTTTAGACAACTGTACAAATGTTGTCAATGGGCTTCCTTCACATAGAAAGTTAACCAGAAATTGATAATACCTGACCAAGCAATAATCTAATCGATATGGCATCGGTATCTATAAAATGATATCCAAACCAACCCCTCCAGGCAGCACAAGCACACAAGAAACTGATCATTAATATAATCACAAAGGGTGGGAATGATAAATATGATTCAGCTCAGGCCCCCTATTCTCATCATTCAAATCTATTGCAAGTAAACACAACCTTTAACCCCCAAACTTCCAGAATCACCAGTGAGCCATATTTCAGTGAAGCAAACACCCAGGTGTAACATACATCAATAGTAAGATGATGGACTCTTAAACTACTTCACCAGCTGGCCGGTCAGGACAACATTGGAAGTTATTAGTTCATTTTTTTTCTTCACTGTGTTAAATGACTCAACTATCAGTCCATGTCTCAACCCCATCTCTGATTACACCGAAATATAAATGATGGATGTTTAACACGAGGGAAACCAACATCACCTTCTTCATTTGTGGTAAATGTTAAATGAACACGTAAAGCAATCGTTTAAAGCAATTAAACACATAATTGCTATTGACAGTTTGCTGACTTTAACAAGCAGAAACTACATTGTGTGCACTGGACATGCATAATTTAAGACAACGTTGCTGATATTAAGCGTTAAGCAAAAACCAACAGTGAACTTTCAGGAACAATATGTGATCACCAGTGAGTGTTTGCAAAGGGATTGACTGAAGACAGGAAGAAAAGTGGGGGGAGAAAAGCACGAAGGTAACGAAGGTAACGAAGGAAAGAGGGGAAAAAAGGAGGCGAGGAGCGAGAACAAGGTGGTGAAAATAAAGTCAAAACTGATGCGCTGATGGTGGTACTGCTTTCCTCTGCATTTGCATCCACTGCATCTGCTGTGGAGGAAAATAAATAAGACAATGGAGATCAGATGTGTGTGTGCGTGTGTGTGTCTGTGTGAGAAGGACTGAGAATTGTGTTGTTTTGCTATCAGTGTGTACATGCATCCCTGCAGCTGTGTGTCTGTGTATGTATTTGTGTTTTTGTGGGCTTGTGGTAGGGCGTTGCATCCATACATCTTCTTGACAAGCGGGTGGACTTTGATGGGACATGCTCTGCATACTGCTCCATCTGGCTGTGCGTGCATGTATGTGTGTGTGCATGTGTGTGTGTCTGTGTCTGCGTGATATTCCACTTGCATACAGATAAGATTCCTCTTGTTTCTCTGCGTACTCTGTCTGAATCTCAATCATCCTACCTGTCGCCCAGCGCTGTTCTTTAACACATCTGCCCTTTCATTCTCTCTCTCTCTTTTACTGCTCTTTGGTCCCTACTCTCCACATCTGTACCCAGCACACAGAGCAATCACCGCACACCACTATCACACCATCTCAGTATCGTTTCATCTCTTTCATTACTACACAATTACCTATCCGCCATGCTCCCTCTCTTCACACATCAATGTGCGCTATGTGCTGGAATAACCCACCTTGGGGGCTCTATCGTGCACAGCCGTGGGCACGTTGTGGAGACCAGTGCTCAAGCCACAGGCGTCCTGTGGCTTCGGTGCCTCGTGGTTTTCACTTCAGCACCTACACATCGGTGTGCCCAGTGAGGGTATTACACATCAAGATTACAGGGTTGCCGGTGTGTTCAAGGCACACGTGGGCCAGTGTGCATGCACTTTTCCATGTAATGATGGTATCTTACAGTATGTCTGACTAATACAATTGTGCGCTCACGCAGGCGCCAGCGCACGGTAAATTGTTTATGCCACAGCCGCCAACTCTCGAAAATTCACCCAGCATGATTGAAATCCATTGTCGTTTTGAAGAATGGGATTTGCCTGTGTGAAGTAGTCTCAAGTGGCATATTACTGCCACTGTTATCACATCATTTTCTGGGTCTCCACTGGTGCTCTCGGCGCGCACACATACACATTCGCAGAACCACGCGTACACACGGAGGCAATTCTAGCTTATGAAGTGTGTAATGGAGATTGTTTGACTCTATCGCCCGATGATAGACTTTGAAGTCATTGTGGCCTCGATGAATAATCTAAAATATCAAGGTTAGGCAATGTTGCTCTCATTTCGCAAGGTGATTTGAATACGAAATGACCTCCCAGTTTTGCGTGCGATGATGAAATGTGCGAGGTTTTGATATCACATTGTTTTTTTTGCCTTGAGTTATGGGTTAGCAAAGTCCTCCCTGTA